TTGATAAATTTTTGCAAAAATAATTTTTTTTAATGATTATATTTGAATATGTTACTTTTGAACTTGAATTTATTTACATACAGTAGAGCGTTGTTTATCCGAAAGCTGGTTATCCGAAAGCATTCCAGTCGGCAAATTTAAATTTTCACTAGTGCTGTGGCGCTGCAATCTTCGGCTATTTCTTGGGCTACTCAAATATTTTACGTTTTTGATACTAAATTAACATCTGAAGTATAATTTTTTATTGTTTTTATATTTTTCAATATATNTATGGTGTTAATTTTATTACAAAAAGTATATATATGGTAAATGATCAATAATAGAAATGGAAGTATGAAAAATTATGAATTTATATTCTTTAAATTTAATGTTTACATCTTGATAAAAATCACTTCTGTGCATTTGGAGCTAGAACTATTCAAAATGACTAGCCATTTACACACTGAGTACTATATTGTACTCAGTGTGTAAATGACTAGAAACAAAGTGAGAAAGGTTTTGTCTTAGTCATTGATAAAAATCACTAATATAATTAATATTTTTCTTGTATTACATAAAATTATTAATAATAAAAAAATAAAATTTCAAATACAGCATCAATTGTTTCCTATTTTTCTAGGAATATTGATTTTCATTGTCTGAACTTACATATAAACAGAATTTTATAATTTTCATAATTAAGAAAACTATTTTACTAAATTGCAGAGATGACTTCCTACTTACTGTGCTGAAACAAATAATAAATGATAGTGTACTTGCTTTATCTATTAGATTATCTATTGTATCTAACTTTTCTAATACAGTTGATCATACATAATGAGATCAGTTGTGGCAAATTCAGTTAATATGAGCTTTTCACTGTCCCCTTAAATTTTTATAAAGATTGGACACATCACAGATTCCAGTAACCAATCAGAGTAAAAAAGTCTTTAACATCAAAATAATTTTTCATTTCACATGACATACTATTTTCAAAATTGAAATGTTCCATTTAAAGCTTGTTCTATTTTTGAAGGGCTATTATAATCTTAAGACCACAGAAAACATTTGTTTTATGTACAGTACATTCTTATGTGCTGTTCATTCTTTGCTAGATTTTTGGGTATATAATGATTGCATAACAAAATAAATTTATAGTTTATTGTTGAAATATCTGCTTTTTATTATCTTCTTACATTTTATGCAATATTAAGGCTGCTTTTAGATGGCCATTCATCTCATTGAAATCCTTCTATTTTAAAAGTTTTTCTCACTTGGGATTTATTGGTGAACATCTGTGCAAGGAGATGGGACTCTCACACTGCACAGTGTAGAGATTTCTGCATGGGAAAATTTTACTGGGCATCTCAAACAACCAGACTACCCAAGGTCATTAAGTGACCTTGACAAATTACCAGTTGGCCATAATATAAGATGGCTTGTGCAGAATACATGATGTGATCTTTCCTCTTTTGTTTCCTCTTGGTTAATTAGATAATTTCCATGCACTCAAAGCTAGAACTATGTAAAATAAGTAAGACAAAACCTTTCATACTTTGTTTCTAGCAGTTTAATCACCAAGTACAAACATTTTCAGCTGTTTTGAATGGCCTTCTTCAGGTACAATAAGGTCGGTTGGAATGTCTGTTATTGTACCTGAAGTCCATTCAAAACGGCTGAAAATGTTTGTACTTAGTGTTTAAACTGATAGAAACAAAGTGTAAAAGATTTTGTCTTACTTATAATTAGATGATGTGATCTTTTTGGTTGTGTTCAGATCCTGACAAAAATTAGATCAGATTCATGGTAAATTTACAATTCAATTTATAAATTTGAAGGTTATATGCCAGACTTTTCTTTATTCTTTATACATAAATATCATTAGAATGCCTAACCACTGTGCTGGGCTGTCTGTTAAACATGCGATAGAATAAGATGTGAACTCTGAATGAGGGGTTTCCCACCCACCCCAGAATTGCAGACCTCCTGTATGAACAAAAAAAAGTCAAAGGAACCATACCTGTACAAGCAAACTTTTGTGAGCTATTCACTTTCAAAGGTCAGTTTTCACTGTGTACCAGTACTACTGCCTATGGGGCATGCATAGTTTAAATCTTGTCACTTGCAGCACTACTGTCAGCTTGATGTATACTTAACTTCTGGTAGTGAGTAAGTAGTAGAAACTGAATGTGAAGTTTTAATCTTCTTATAAAAACATTGTAACAATTGCTGAATTACGAAAGAAATTAAACAAATTAGAGAACAAGACAACAGGGACAAAAGAAAAACTTTTAGACACAAGCTTAAAATAACAAGTATAAACTGACACTTTTACAGTTATTGGTTTTCATTTTTGATCTTGTAATAGAATTATGAGGCCAACAATTTAGTTTTACTCAACTTCAATTTGTAATATACATTTAAATTTTAGATACATAATAATAAACACAAAACAATGTTAAAATTATTGTCATTAATGTTTGATAATAATTAAAACAATTTTAAGCTGTTTTTGAAATTAACTGTATTGTCAAATGTAGCATAATTATAAGGACACCATATTTTTGGTAAAATTCATATCATTTAATATTTAGTTGAAGCACCTTTCATTTGAATAACACCAAACACTATCAGACATAATTTGAATCGATTTTTGCAATTGTTTCACTTCAATAATTTCTCAAGCATCCCTAATTGGTAATTTTACCTGGTTTACTTAAGAATAATGCTTGCCTTGATCAATACTCCACATATAGTTGTGCATGGCAGCAACAGTACAATGCCATGCACAACTACATGTGGATTTGAATTTATAAATTCAATCAATCAATATAGAAATTCAAGGGATCAACCTAATGTTGGTAGTTCTGTTCAACATGTACAGTACACACCTGAATTGCTGGTACATTCCACTGAGTGGCACAAAATAACTAAATAAGAAGTTTGAACAGCATAAAACAATCTCAGATATTATTATTCTCTCATAATAATTATAATTAATATTCAATAAAATAAGATATACATAAATTTTTTCAAGTTCTTTTGTTATAATATATGAAGTGTGCAATGCCATAATGTAAATGCCAAAATAGAAACTTTTCAGGAGATAAAAACACTTTTTCTAATGAATGAATTCATTTCAATTTTACAATAAGATGGTAAAAAACTCACTAGATTACAAATTCTCTGGAATATCAAAATGATGTAAATATAAGCAGTAACATTTTAAGTGCCAAAAGTCACATGACTTGCACTCTGGCTCTTTAAATGTTATATCTTCATATAAATTCATCTTCAAAATACAGTCACTTATGGTGCCACAATAATGTCTTGTGGCAATCATTGCATTTTGAATTCTTCAATAAAATGTATTTAAAGAAAAATGGCATTGCATGCTTCATATATGACAATTGTTAAGATTGCAGATGTAAATGAGACTGTTGAGGCCTTAACAGCTGTAGAGCATGCCCATAGGAGCAAAAAGTAAAAAAAGCCATAACTAAGCATCAAAATATAACCCCTGAAATCAGCCTACTTTCAGGGCACAATTGGGAGTTGTGCTTCATGCTCTGCTAAGACTATTGTGTTTAATTATTCAGCCCAGATAACTATGTTGACTTTGAGTAGTCCACTTAACTGTTCATGGAGTACTTGATGTTATATGTTTTAGGGGTGCGGGAGGTTGCTGTCATGCCCAACTGCATATGGAGTGTAAGTCAAGACAAGCAATAGCAAACCTTGACTGATGCAGAGCATAGAGAATAGGTACACTGGTACACAGTGAAAACTGACCTTTGAAATTGAATGTACACAGTGAAAACTGACCTTTGAAATTGAATAGTTCACAAAGATTTGCTTATATAGGTATGGTTCCTTTGACTTTTTTTGTTCATACAGGTCTACAATTCTGGGGTGGGTGGGAAACTCCTCATTCAGAGTTCCCATATTATCCTATCGCATGTTTAAGAGACAGCCCAGCGCAGTGGTTAGGCATTCTAATATTTATGAATAAAGAAAAGTCTGACATGTGACCTTTCACAAGATATCTGGCTCCAAATGGAGAACCCCAATGACAGCAGTTCCAGCCACCATCTTGCTTGTGGACATCATGTTTGAAAGCAAGTTATGTTTAGACAAGGTGACCAGTGCCTTTAACAAAAATAATAAATGCATTAACTTCTACTGATTAAAAACAATTTTTACCTTGAACATGTACTACTGCCTATTCTCCATGGTCTGTGTTGGTCAAAGTGAGCAATGGCAAATCTTAACCAACACCAGGGCCAGCCCGAGAAAAAATAGGGCCAGTGCAAAGTTGTCATGCGAGGCCTTTAAAAAGTAAAAAAACAGTTTAGGACAACAAAATAATATTTTAATGGTAAACGTACCATCTATTAAATAGATTAGGAAATAATGAAATGATCAAATTTTAATTTTGCAAGAACTGAATCATGCAGGATCACAGGACCTTGTGTGATTGCACCGGTCACACTGCCCTCTGGCTGGGCCGGCCCTGACCAATATGTACTCCACATGTAGTTGTGTGTGGGAACAACACACAACTACACAACACGCATGGAAAGTAGCTACACAACATAGAAGTAAGCTGATTTCGGGGAGCTATCTATCTCACGCATGCAGAGGTATAGTTATTTTGACTTTAATGCTCCTAAGAGCATGCTCTACAGTTCTATTAAGCTTCCAAAAATGTCATTCACATCTTACCCTAACAAGTTTTCAAGTTTACTCATTTTGAATAAAAAATTATCCATATATACCTTCCACTGTCTAAAACAAGCCATCACACGTGACAAAATAAACACTTTACGGCATGCTCGATATTTTCGTTTTTAGTGTTGCCAGATATTTACGATCATTAAAAAATAATATTTTATAATTAGCATTTAGTTATTTTATTCACATTTTTTATATTTTTATAATTAACAAATTCGAAAACTAATAAATAAATAAGATTAAAATTAGTAATAAATAAGTTTCTTTTTTTTCGGCGATATTTTAACGATAAATTTACACCTCGTGACTAAACGTGTTTATCATTCTCACATGATTAAGACGTCGATTTCGAAGAAAGATGGAAAAGCAATTGGAGAAATGTGTTGACGAGATGTAAGCATGATATATATATATTTTTTAAATTTAATAACAAGTAATGACAGCATTTAAAACGAAAAATGAGCAAAATAAAATGTAAATGCTTCAAAAGTCGGAGAGTTAATGATTTTCGACAAGTATATTTAAATTATCAGCTGTGTTAGCGTATTTAAAAAAAAAAACATTAGTAGAATAGGCTAAATTCAAGCTTTGAATAATACAAGTTTTTTAAAAATACTTTTATATTCTTCATCAGTTAAAAATATTCAAGTCAGTTTCTTAACTAATTATACTAATGTACACCAATATTATTATACTCTTGTGTTATTTATTGCATATATTTATTATAGTTTATCATTATTCAAAATGTGGTGTAAAAAGATATCCATAAATTCATAAAATAAAAATTTATTTATATGACACATTTTCTTTCAAAGTACTATAAATACATTTGTTTTCATTAACTGTCAATTCTGATTAACCCGGCGCTCCTCGTGGTCGGATTTGTTACGCAGTTACTCGAGGGCGAGTGTTGAACTTGCCCTATGTATTTCTATTGTTAATGATTTGTCTTGAGAAATTTTAGAAAGATCGGGAAGTTTTGTTATGGATAATACACACTTTAATGTTTCTTTCACTTTAGTTTTGAATACGTTAAAAGTAATTTCGGTATAGAAACAGAAAACTGATATCTAATCGGGTCGATCAGATCGATAAAAATAGAAATACGATATCTGAAGTTATTGTAAAACTTAATTATAATTTCTATTGACATTCTTAATCTGTTTATTCTGAATTTTTGAAGTTGCATTGTTTGCAGATTTGTGTAGTAGTAGTAGTAGGCTACATGTTACACTTTTGCGTGCTTTTTTCCTATTTTTTTTTTTTTGGGGGCAATATGCACACTTTTCTCTTGATACTGATGTTGCCTGTAAAAGATCTGGTTTCTTTCTCAACACACACTTCCAGGATTTTCATATAAAGATCCTCATTCTTGTTTTTGTGAGGAAGGAGTCTACATTTTCTTCCTCAGACTCCTCATCAAGCCATTTCAGAAACATTTCATCACGTTTTTTGCTAGTATGTATATACAATATCACTTCACAGTTAGAATCATACCACTTGATATGCAAAAATAAGATACAGGATTACTTGTGGGTGAGCACCACACTAACTTGTCCATTGACTGAAACAAAGGCATTACTGAAAGTGTTAGCAATGACTATTACAGTTGTCCCTTGATAATCCGACAGGTATGGGACCAAAGGTGTGTCAGATTACCAAAAGTGTCTGGATTACCAAAAATAATTACATATTTCGCATTGTTTTGCTAGCAGTAACTTACAATATTCTCTACTCCAACTGTTCGAACAGAACTGCTCACATAAAACACACGAAATGTGTGTCATCGAGTAAGAATTGGATGGGGAGATTCACATCGCGACATGCTTCTGTGCAAGCAGACACGTAACGGGGACGGGTACCTTGACGGGAGGTGCGTCGGACTACTAAGCATGTCGGATTAAAAAACTCGGACTATCGAGGGACAACTGTACTTATTTTTCGTGCAATACAACGTCGTAATTGACAACGGTTTCCTATTTTCAACACAAGTGTCTAGCGACCGGGCGCGTTCCAACTTACTCTGATAGAGGCTCCCTTTGTCTGCCACTTTTGTAGGTAATAGACTCGTGTACAGTAAGTAATCAGTCTACTGTAGTAGTTTGTTTAACATTGGAAGAGACGTCGATCGTAGCTTATTAAATACAAAATTCATTTTATCAACTTCTGTTTTATTTGTTTTTCAAAACCGCAATGCAGCGTAATAATTAATACTTGGCATAACTCGTTCATTTATTTCAGCTTTTGTTCAGACGCGTTTATACAGTGGCGTATAGGGTTTCTTTCCCGGGATCCCGTTTTCCCGGGATTCTCGCCGTTTATTCCCAACGAGAAAAATCCCGGGAAATTTTATTTTCCCGGGAAATCTCGCATTTCAATAATAATTTACCATGTCAGGTTTTTTTCTAGTATTTATTATACGAAAAGTTGCATCTTGAAGACTCACCTAAGAGAGAAATTTTGAGGTTTCTTGCTGCATATTATTACCTATGTTTTACAAGTCTCTACTTGTTAGTTCATGTAATATCTATATATTGTGTTTGCGCATCATTGAACAGGAAGACTTACTGAAAGTAAATATCACTCATCGCACTTTAGTTCATTTTTTATTTCATCTTTAGAAGTAAAATAGTATTTTCTTCGTAATCATTAAAACTCCCAATGAAACGCTTTATTTTACTTTCATCTTATAATGTAGGAAAACCTAAATTAATTGAGCCTAACGTGTCCGTATGGGTGAGATTGGCACTACACTTTTAGTTACTTACTAGAAAATAAATTAAATTATTCAAATTTATGATATTCATGTATGATCATTTTTATTCATATAAAATTCTATTTTACTATCTCATCCCGGAATTTCCCGGGATCCCGGGAAAAGAAATTATTTTCCCCGTAATCCCGCTGGAGGCAAATTTCCAGGAAAATGAGAAACCCTAGTGGCGTACCGTAGTAAGGGCGGCAGGGGCGGCCCGCCCCAGGCGGCACTTTTTAAAGGGCGGCAAAATTTCACAATAAATAATAATATTATCTTGTAAAAATTTGAAACATTATAATCTATACTTGCATCGCGCCTACGATAGTGCTATCGTCCAGACTGTCGTCTCGCCGTCCAGGTGAACTAGTAATTTTTAATCCGAGGAAATCCCGCGAAATTTGTAGGGCTTTTTTTTGCCTTTACGATTCATTGGTGTTCATATACACCACTAATATTCAAAAGAACTATTTCAATTTAAACAGTTCGCTGCGCTAGCACGGAATTTCATTGCTTGTTCTGTGACAAAACTGAATTTTAGTCTTTTAAATTGAAATATTGAAATACCTAAATAAGGGGAAGCAAAATTTTTTTCTGCATCGGGTGGCTGACACCCACGGTACGCCATTGTGTCTATGTCCTGATTGTTAGACAGAGACTTCACAGTCTATATCCTTTTTACAAAAGCCCTCCTTAAAAGTTTAGAGATCAAACTGTAAGTCCCTCTGCACTCGATCTCTTTGACTAGTAAAGCCATTCTTTTAGACAACCCGAAGGCTATTCTAACGGATAGCTGCCGAATAAGTGGTACTGTACAAGAGTCTTAACAACTCCGTATTTCCGGCTAGCTTCTCACAATAGTAAAGCTTAAACTAATTCTAATAACTTTTTTTAAAGGCGATAATCAAGAGAATCTATTTATCACATAGTTTATACGCTTTGTTGCAAAAATATATAGACTTCATTATCATATAAAAGCAATTATGTGATCATTTTACAAAAATTTTCTGATGCAATTTACAAAAAAAATTTATAGACCCATAAATTCCCACTGTTGTCTTTGTAACCGTCTGTCTGTCTTCTTTAAATTTCAAAAACGAAGTACGAAAGATGAAAGATGAGGAAAGGTGAGGAAACCCTATTGCCAGGAGGTCCCAGTTAACAGTATATGAATTTCTGACACAAACCGAAAGACACGTTATTTTACTTCGAACGTATTCCTCTGAAGAGTGTTAGATAAATGACCGGCACGACTCTACTGTTAAAAAGAAATGTGATGTACAGAAACAAGACACTATTAATTTCAGGTAGGGAGAATATATTTTAAATTAAATTAAATAAATAAAAAATATAATTAAAAATTACAGCCCGAAATTGTGATTATGTGACAATAAATAATTTTATTCAATCAAGTTTTATATCATGTCTTTCGGACGTTAACTTACACAACTTCACGGGGTCATCACAACCTGTCTAACAAGGATCATTTCTCAAATACAGTAGAGCGTCGTTTATCCGAAAGCTGGTTATCCGAAACGTCCGTTATCCGAAAGCATTCCAGTCGGCAAATTTAAATTTTCACTAGTGCTGTGGCGCTGCAATCTTCGGCTATTTCTTGGGCTACTCAAATATTTTACGTTTTTGATACTAAATTAACATCTGAAGTATAATTTTTTATTGTTTTTATATTTTTCAATATATTTATTTTGTTTGTACAAAATACAGAAATAATTTTTAACGATACAATAGTCTTCGTTAGGCATAACATCGACGAAAATTCATTGCGAAGCGACACGTAACAGAGAAAAATTTCAACATGGGATAAATTAATATATTTTTTTCGTACATGATTCATTATCCGAAAAATAAGTTATCCGAACCACCCCAGTTCCCAATTGATTTGGATAAACAACGCTCTACTGAATATAATATTTCTACTGAATATTAATTATATTTTTCAATAAATGATTTTTGTTTCTATTGTTCATTTTTTTAACTTAGATTTTGTCTATTTCCAAATTTATTTTATTAGGACAGACACTTAATCGAGACAAATTTGTCAGGTCCTGATATGTCCCAATTATGCAGAATCAACTGCATGCATATATTTACCAAATATAGTTTAATAGAAATGACTATGTTATAATAATTTAATTAATAACTAGAAACTATAATAATTGTCATTTTGTCACAAAATTAAAATTGTTAATTCATAATAAATAAGTTAAAAAAATTCAACCATCTTCCAGATGCCCTGATGGATAAATATCACATGTTTTGATTTATCTGCCCTTTAGGCAACAATGGCAATTAATATTTATTCATTTATTGTTTAAATAATATACATATTTTGAAATTATATCCCAAACATAAAATATAAAGTTAAAAAAATTGATTTAAAATCTATTGATAAAATTATTAATTTATTTGAAATTTATAGCATATACATTGATGGTAAGTTTATTTAGACCTTTACTGACCCTTACAAAGTTTATAAAACTTTGTAAGGGTCAATTTACATTCTGATAGTGACATGGACATCAACAGCAGCATTCCATTACATTTGCTGTCCTCAGCTCTACTACAGTACATTTTTTTTATTTATTTATTAGAAATAAGTGCACCACTCCTATGGGAA